CTCACTATAACAATTACAACGAAAATAACAGATATACCTCTATCAGCGCGCGCTTCGAATACGATGTGCATTTTCCTCTCTAACAGGAAATATCCACTTTTGTGAATAATTCGTTTGAGAAACCTGATCTTCCTATCCGGCGAATTTTATTCAACCATTTCTTCTTCACCGAGCCTGTGTTTGGTACTTCCCACTGTCACGAACTACTGCCTAAGCTTCAGGTGCTACTTCTGTAGCAACATTCCCCTTACTCTTTCAAATATACAGGACTTGTTGGTCTGTTACGTGATTGTTGTGAAGCCGAATAACCCGAAAGTTACAAGTAAAGTCAAAAGCTTTTACTTATATACTTTATCTTTCTGTTCTGTGCTTTCTATTGTCTTTTGCTGTCAGCCTATTGGACAAAACTCCACTGTCTCTTATTATTTAATCATCGGTATTAATTTAGGAGTAATATGACTATAGATTCTCACCCTAAGATAAGTAATGGGAGACCATACACCGTAGTCACCAGGGCTTCAGCCAAATTAGGCAACACAGGTGAAGGTGATGGACTCTCGCATACCGGTCTTGAAGACCAGGGTAAATATTCCCTGCGTGGACAGATTGCCCATGTCGCCGCAGTCCTACAGTGAAACTGTGAAAAGTCAACTAAGCGGATGTGGCTCCATCCCTGTTAACACGACTAGGTTAACAGAGCCAAGTGGTAAATCTGCACAAAGTGAGAATAGTATAACACCCATATCCACAGTAGGCCTTGAAACAAACAGGAAGGCCAACAAGAAACGTTCGCGACGTCGCAAGACGACGAAAACGTTCCCCAAAAAGGTAGACGATTGCAAGGTCTGCAATTCTGTTGTTGAACGAGTAGACTCTGCTTTCGAATGCAACTTTTGCAAGCAATGGGTACATTGTAGATGTGACACCGAGGTACCAAAAGTATATTACGATTTTATGCGTAAGAACCCATGCCCATGGTTCTGGTACATATGCCCAAGTTGCCATCCTGATGCAGCGTCGTGTAGTTCCTTGAAAGCTAAAGATGGCATAGAGATATCAGGGAAAAACGTGAAACGTTCTACTCCCACCAACTCAGAAAACAGCACAATTGCACGTAAATCGGGGATACCGAAATCCACACCGGTTATACTTGCAATTCTTGCCATAACTGCTCCAGACACACAGGCTGAAGCACCATGGGTATCTGTCGCTGGGAAAAGACCCTTATCGTCTGCCAGTAATAGTGGCCACAGCACTGAGACACACAATAATATCCAGTCGCACCAGACGAAACAAAACGGTCTTAAAGGGGATGACAAATGTGCGAGGACCGAACCTAAGTCTACGGTTAGTAGATCAAACTGTGTAATCCTCTTTAATGTACCAGACTGTAGTAGTAGTCTGCTGGAAAACAGGGCCCTGTTTGATCAGGAACAGTGGTCCAACTTATGTAGCACACTGGGTCTGGACATCCAACCAGTAAAACTATGCAGATTGTATAGGGGCACTGCTGCTCCTCAAGGCAAACCATCCCCAGTGAGAGTAACACTGGGCTCTACCGAGGATGTCGAAAAAGTTTTACTGACTTCTCAAGTCCTTTCTATAGGTAGGACCTGCAATATACGTGTTAGGCCAGATAGGCCATGGAAGGAAAGACAGATGGCGAGGGAGTCACCAGAGCTTATTCCTTCTGCCTCCATGGTTGTTCACGGCATTCCCGAACTGGTAACTGGGATCGCTTGCGAGAAGCACTGTCACAATGTACAGCAATGGAGATGGTTGGCATCCCAGATGGCTCTGGAAAGTTCAGGGGCTGTCTCTATTTATAGACTGCCTCGACCCACTCACCTTATGTCAATTAACACACCACGTCTGTTAGCTGTCAAGTTCAGCTCCCGAGGCCACTTGACTACTGTTCGCCAGAGATGGTACGATGCCAGGGACAAGGTCAGCAGTCACATTTGCTGTTGCGACAGCCAGCCTCGTATCCAAAGGAGAGACAAAAACGTTGTCATAGAACATCCCCAACCCCTAGTCACAATACAGTGGTGCAGCACGGATGATGATAGCCAGTGTCATCCAAGTGCTCCGATTGAACCAGAAGAAAAAAACGGCAACAGGCCGGTTCCCGGGGAATCGGCCAACTAGTTCGTAGGATAACTCCTCAACCGACAGCCCACATCACGTCAACCACCCCTCAATACGGGGACGTGGTGAGACTGACTACCAGTTGCCTGTACAGTAATGTGAGAGGGCTAAGAGGCAAAATAGCTGAACTTAGATACCTACAATCACAGCTGAACTCCAAAATCATAATTCCATTATGGGTAAATTTTATTTTGATAGAGTCTCACAGTGTTATACATTTTACAGTAATATTTATTATATCAGTAAATATTACTGTATAACACTGTGAGACTCTATCAAAATAAATTTACCCATAATGGAATTACACTCTACCACAGTGCCCGAGTTTTATTCTTAACCAAAATCATAATACTGACGGAAACCTGGCTAACCCCTACGGTGGCAGACAGCGAAGTCAGTATAAATGATATGGTCCTAGTTAGGCGAGATAGGGACCTGAAAGAAGGAGGTGGAGTCGCCATATACGTCGACAAACAGCTCAGATGTGTCCATGCAATGGACCCTCCACTCATTGAGCTCCCTGACTCCATATGGTGCCATTTCACTGTTGGGTACTGTAAATATCTAGTGGGCAGCATTTATAGATCACCTTCATGTGGAGCAGACCATAACCAGGTACTGCTGAATACAATTTCAGCGACACAAGACGTGGGGTTATGATCAAATTGTCATAGCTGGAGACTTCAATGCCCCATCTTTTAACTTGATGACGAGATATGCCCATGATAGATTTGATCGAAATCTGCTGCATACCATCAGGGAGGCCGGATTCACTGAAAATTTCAGAATGGATACTAGATGGGGCCCAGATGGGAAGTCTTCTAGAATGGATTATGTGCTCACTAGTGACCAGCTACTAGTGGAAAACGTTCAGATCACGACTCCCATAGGTAGTAGTGACCACGCGGTCATAGTATTCGACATAGTCCTCCACGAGCGTTTACAGTGGGACAATACACAGTCCTATCTGTTATAACAAAGCCAATTACACCGAAATGCGAAGACTTTGGTCTGAAGCAAATTGGCCTAAAAATGGACAGAGCTAACAGTAGAAGAACACTGAGGAGTGGCAATGGAGATCATTCACCAGGCGATCCCAGTCACTATTCCTTTAGTCACACCAAAAGCTAGGAAGCAACGTTCATGGTTAAAAATGGGGACACAACGCCTTCTGCAGGCGAAGCGAAAAGCCTGGTTCGCGTGGCGACTATCGAAGAGTCAACCCGAACATGAAGTGTACCTTGAACTCAGGAATCGATGTAACATACGAGTCCGGAGTGATAGAAGGACATTTCAGGGAAACCTCGCCAATAAGCTTCTCGTGAACCCCAAAAGCCTATACAGATTTATGTCTGGAAGAAAACCGACCAACCAGGGAGCTTGCAATCTAGTGGGTTCTGATGGGAAATCTCTTACTAGTCTTGAAATGGCAGAGACATTCAGTCTAGCCTTTCACAGGCAACTGAACAGTAACGATGATTTTACCCCCACAAGACTTCAAGATTACAGTGCAAAACCAACGCGCGAAAACCTGCTGGGTACATTTCAAATTACCCCGGCTATGGTACTCGTAAAATTGGGAAAGTTGACTTCGGGAAAGTCTGCAGATTGTGTTGACATCAGACCATCCGTCCTGAAGCAGTGTTCAGAAAGTCTCTTTCAACCCCTTAGTGACCTGTTTCAACACTCCTTTGATGTAGGGAAACTTCCATGTGAGTGGAAACGAGCCATCCCATCCCTTATCTTCTAGGGTGGTGACCGGCAGAATGCGACTAGTTACAGACCAGTTGCGCTACTTCCAGTGATATCGAAGATATTGGAAAGTCTCATTGACGACCACATGAGAAAATACTTCGACGGGACTAACCTACTCCATGAAGCACAGCACAACAAATCATATGAGGAAAGACTGAAGAAATTAAGTCTTTTCACACTTAGTTCCCTTAGTCATAGGGGAGACCTCATCACCGTCTATAAGATCTTAAATGACCAGGCCCACCCTAATGAAAGCATCCTGCCATGAAGTGATTATAGGCTTCCACGAGGTAACCCGCTAAGGATAGCACACCAGGAATCAAAGACTCGAGTGCGTTCACATTTCTTTTCGCTTCGAGTTTGCGGTGTCTGGAACGCTTTAACGGCGGCCGTAACTTCAGCGCCATCTGTGGAGACTTTTAAGCGGAAGCTGGACAATCATGCAGAAATGCAAGGTTAGTGTCTCAATGGCTTATCCTCTTAAAATTTGAAACCACACTGTCAATGGATAAGCATACAGGCTAAATCCCCACGACCCGTTCTGTCTTCTCTCACTGTACCGACTACTCTATCTTTTCCTTAGGTCACCTTTATTATTTCACTTATCTCAACCTATATCATCTATACTACAACCTATTATTATTACTATTCTGCTTTTATGACTACACCGAATGACCAACGGGTGTTAGATCAAACTCCATTCACGGCAGCAGCTGAGTCCTAACATACTGCACACTACAAACCACAATCTTGACCAATCCTCGCACCACTCCTCTTGGAGTCTACCAGAGCTAAAGCAGTCAAGTGGCGGGATTTACTACGCATAAGTTCACCGAAGATCTGGAACTTCTACCTTACAATCAAGAAGCGAGCTCAAAGAAATCACTGGTTTATACTAGCTCGTAATCAGGATATTGGAATGAGTCAGATGAGAGAACCAAATAAGCTGTCATCTGGTGTATTGCAGAATATAACAGAAATACTTGTGACGCCAAATAAATGCAGTTTTATGTGTTCAAAAGATGATCCGGAGTAGCACAGACGGAATTACGTTGTTGGTTTTAGATAATATGTTGTCCAGGCAATGTACATTGAAACTAGGAATTAGCGCTCAGAAAGATTTTGGTCGCATCGGCGGATGACTTATAGGTAGGTTTTAGTTGTTTTTCTTTGAAGTGGAGTGTAAATTATGCATTTTTAGCTAGTAGAAATTAACATTAATTTTATAGCTTTATGTATGACACCCAGATATAAATAAGACACTGGTTATTGTTTGCACCAGCGATTGTATTAATTAGAATAGTTTGTTATATTTTAATTTTGTTGACAATAAACATGTTCGCTTCCAACTCGTACTGCACACTGAATATATACTCTGGTTTGAATGATACCTCAAGCTATACATCCATCTTAACAGATTGTTTGAGGTGTCCCATTTTGTGTTTAAGTACAGGGTTTGGAAGCATACTCAGCTAATATACTTTCCGTTATTTGCAGAAAAACGCAAGTGGAATTCGGAATTTGCTCTCCATAGTCAGTTTACGGTGATTTTAAGGCAAGTTGTAAATGGATTTATCGGGTGACCTAGTGATAGTCCCACATCTAGTTCAGTTTGTGGTATTCACTTTCGGTTTTAAAAAAGAGGGAAGCAATGTAATGGTAAGAATCAGGAAAACATGCTGTCGGGTTTCTTTTGTATGTGCATGCTTTAGTAACTCCAATTAGCCGATTATTCACACAGTGGTCAATCAAGACATTCTTGAAACTATTGAGGCAAATCAAGAACAGGTATTTTTTAAAATTTGGTTATTCAACCTGCAACTAATTGATTATCGAAGGTCATGTTGCCAGGTGGCTGCTATAGTTTGTCTTCACCGATGCTAAAGCTGTTCGCCCCAGTAAGTCATGTCACTGTCACGATTGAAAGATTATCAACAAATTCCCATTTTCTCGCTATGATGGATTTGACCGTGTAAATTTGACTGGGCATACAATCATCCTTTTTAATCGAACCAACATCCACTAGTATGCTGTAGAAAAGTATCACAAGTGATTTTTTACAGACAGTCGACTGACACGTTAGTTCCATTATGGATAAGATTTTATTTTGATAAGTTACACATTGTTACACAGTAATATTAACTGATGACGTTTCGAGCACAAATTATTGCTTATAATCATATCAAGTTACTCACTCAAGTAACGATTTGGGAAAGTCAGTAGTTGAGTAACTGGAGATTTCTAAAAGGCATCAGTAAGTATTTAGATAGTTTCTCGTCTTCATGAATCCATTTAACTGGGCGTCACCGAGAACTCTTCGTTGGGATTCAATCAAACAGTGAAATTTCCATTTCAGGGCCTAATGTCACCACAGAATCTCCTGTTATCCGCAAGTCTGGTCACTATGTCTAACAAATCGCTTGCTTGGCTTTACCACGTAAGTGATTCGGAGGTCCAGCAATGTCTGTTTGAACAGGATAGAGGTCATCTCCCAATAAATGGTGCTATTTTGGGACATCTGCCTCAGTTGCTTAAACATGTGTTATGGGTGTCATCTCAGCAACTCCTTTGCCGTTCATTCTTTGCTGGTACTGTGACTGACTGAAAAGTGGAGGAATAGTTAGCCAGTGATATCACATCATGGACTAATGGATAGTTACATTGGGTCAGCAAATGACGGCTCGCATTAAAGGGTTATAGAGATCATGCAACTCAGTGACATAAGATGCCATCAGATATGACTTAGAATTGAAATCAGTGGCAAATATGCTTCAGTTTCCTTTTTCTTCTATTTCTGAAACTAATTTGAAGTAGCGAACGGTCATTTAAATGTCCTTGATAAATGTGCTTACATGTTCTCATTTCCCTGTTCACCAACTATTTATTTTCTCTATTTTGTTTATGCTGTGGTTCACTTCTTGGTGACCATATTGTACCAAGTTTGTGTTTTGAGTAAATGATAATAGATGCGTTGCTCGCTTAAATCTGATTATTGTTTGAAAGTATATTAGTAGACATTTAGCTTAACAATATTACAAACTATTTGTTGTTATTAAAACAGTAGATAATCAGTATGTCAGATGTTGTTGTACGCACAAATGAACTGTCAAGCTTTTGGCCTCTCTTACTGGATTACGATCGGCGCGAATGCCTACAAATCCTACGTCGTTTAGAACTTGAGGCTTACAGTAAGATTGTTGCAGTTTTGAGGGCGCAAGGACCTTTGACAGAAGAGAAGAAAAAACTGTTGTGCAAGTTGCAACGTCTGCTGAGTATATCCATTGATCGACATAAAGCAGAAGTTCGAAGAGCCCTCAATGATGAAGAGCTAGCGACTATTTCAGAAGCGTAAGTCCTCTATTTCTACTAATTTTTGTTTCTCTTTAAGTGTATGCGGAAAGGAGGTAGATGAAGAGTGGATTTTAGAAGGCAAACGAATTTCCCCAATTTTTCAACGTCCGAGCCCTGAAACCATCTTTTTATCCCAAGCCAACAAAGCTTCATTTGAACAGCTAGTGCGTAATTCTAGATTACCACGTCCAGCTGAAACAGCACTACCAGAGAACCTAATGAAACTGATAAAGCTTAGTGAGAAAAGTGAAGTTAAGCAAGCAGTTGACAAGGTAAGATATGAGACCAGCTGGTGGTTTTTATATTAATTTCTAAGGGAAATGTTCGTTTTGTTATTTCTGATGATATGCTATATAAGTAGTGACTAGCCTTTTCCAGTTGGTGGCTCTAACATATAGTGTTGTATAGTTTGTACGCAGCACTTTATACTTATCACACAATCGTCAACTAGTCATTTTGGGCTTTTAAATGAGGTTTTTCGTCATTACTTTTCTCATTAGTATTCGTTGAGGAGGAGAAATGAAGAAAAGGAAAGGTGTGTTTCCTTGTTCAACCGTTTTTAGTCCCTACTTGTGTATTAGATGAGAACTCAGTCTGATGGCCATAAATATCGAATTAAAAGAAATGATTAGGTTGCTTTTGAGGTTGTACACCTGGTGTCTCTCATTTATGTTTAGATCGTATAATCTAGGTGAAATTTCATGAGGTACTGTAAACTAAGTGGTGAAATCTGTCCCCTAGAAATTTCAAATCATGCCACAGCTTTTAATGTTTGTAAGTATTCTACTTCGTACTTGTTATACAGTGTGATAAGTTGTTTAATGTAGTGAAGGTAGTGAGACTCGCGCTGAGCACCTTGACCAATTCACTTGGCTTATTTTCATTTATTCCTCTTAGTTGTTGAAGTTTTTTGAAATAGAAACTTAGTGTGTATAAACCTAAGTGCTGTGGTAAATTCAGTAATGGGGAATACGTAAAGAGCTAAACAAGAACTGAATAGTTAACGATGAGGAGTGAGAAATTTACGGGGAATTTCGTATACTCTTCTCCAGATGAACATAAGAAAGTCTAGGAGAATCATTAGCATGACAAGAGATCTTTTACTCAGGAAATGAAGGTACTGAAAACTTTGTGTGCTTCCAGGTAATCAAGGCACTTAACGTAAGCTTTCGTGTTTAAACCATGATACATTTTCTTAATTTATCTTTGGTTGTAGTAGTCAAGTGAGTAGTGATGTGTTTCTAATTAATTGGGTGAAATCATAGTTGCTAAAGTATCCATGGGTTTACATTGAGGCACAGGCATGAGTCTTTACTTATCTAGGTGGGTTAATATATGTTTATGAACCCTTATTAGTTCAGATTATTGCATAGTTAAACAACTGTTAATGAGTTGCACTACGCTTTAATATTGTCTTTGTTAAACAGAGTGTAATACATACATATGGGCTGCAGCACTTGAAGTGTGTCTGCAATTTCTTTGTGATGGACAGTATTTTAGAAATACTTTTAAATCTCTTATTCTCTAGTTTTTGTTTTGCATTGTTTGTAGAAAATGTTTGATTTTTTATTCCTACTCTGCATAGCCCATATGTAAATATATTTTAAATTGCACTTTATACTGTTGATGACTGTCTATTTAGAAATCTACTCCAGTAACAAATGAATCTGTAATCGAAGTTTTAACTAGTACGTCTGCAGTTGAAATCTCTACTGACAAGCAGACAGATATAGCAAAAGAGAAGGAAAACAATGATATGCATGTGATGAAATTGGATAGTTTGGATAAATTCTCAGAAAAATGTTCTCCGACTAAATCCCAGAATCCTCTTGTTAAATCCTTATTGAAACCGAAAGTTCCAACACAGCTGCCATCAAAGGATGTTACATGTTCATTTGACAAAAATTCAGTTAATACATCACAAAATATGGGAGTCAGTACATTGGAGGAAGAGAGTCGTCGAGAAAACACTTCTTCATCAAGCAGCAGCTCTGCAGAATCAAAGAATCAAGTTTTAACAAATAAACCGTCATTGCCAGTAGTAGTTACGCGTGAATCTTCAGGAGTTACCATTTTGAAATCGGAAAGTACTCTTGCTAACTGTACAAATGATATGCCGAATAAAGCTATGCGGGTTAGTAGTAGTATGCATGAGCTCACTTCACTGAATGACATAACTGTGAGAAGTTTAAACGAGGCGCAAATTTCGACAACCAATGTTACCTATACTATCGCAGAACCTCGTATCGTTCAGCCGGTTATCAGTCAAATTAATCGAATCCCTCTAACGAGTATACCGACTGGAAAAGTTTTTAATGCATCCAACTATACTCTGCATAGTACAAACACCTCTGCTCATGCACCTCAACAGTTTGTGTTACAAATGCATCGAACTCCGGATGTTATATTGGTTAGTAATATTTTGCCTTTATATTTGTTTTACTGAATTTTTATTTTCTCACATATTTCTCATAAGAATAAGCGATTAGGTAGCTAAATAGGGTATCCCTGACCGATAGCTGCTACCTTGACGTGGTAGTCGGGCTTGCACATCGCAATGATCCGACAAGCTACACTGGCTGGAACTATTGTTCCTGCAGGTCCTACCATGCCAGGAAGGTTGTTAGGATAGCCATTAGACTACAAGCATTTACCGGCATAGTGTAAGAAATTTTTTGCACTTTGCTTGGGGGTCTGTGGGTGAAGTAGTACTTCTGGGAACAGGGATGTAACAGCAGTGAGGTGTTTCCCTCAGATGACCAGCATGCCAGCTACGCTGTCTCTCCACTCTGGAGGGAGGGGGTTAGAAAATTGCACATCCCGACTTACCCTATGGTGGTCCGTAACCGGCAGTAAGTTTACTAATACGGAAACAAACCAAGAAACCAGTTCATACAGGTCGTGTGTGACCGGCCTCAAGCAGTTGTCCCCTAGGCTCTGCGGTCACGCAACATTAACCCTCTTGCTGTTTCAGTGACCCGAAGAATCAGTCGACTTCCACGGCGTAGGCAGCCGAGAAGTAACAACTGCCCACACACTTCCAAGAGCACACGAAGCCTTACTGAACATAATTCTCCTTTACCCACATCAACTTCATCATCTTACTCCCATACTACAGTTAGTACTATTCTTCAGGCTAGTGAGGCATCTTCACTTCACTCTATGACCACAAACAACGATGAGAGCCATAGAAACACCCCAGATAGCCTTTTAAAGCCACGTCTCCAAGTTCATATAGGAGCGTTCAACGTCAGGACCCTCTGCCAAATCGGAAAAAATGTATCACTTGCAAGAACTCTGGCAGCTCGAGCCATGGATTTATGTTGTGTTTCGGAGACACGCATACAAGACTCGAGTGTGGTCATTCACTTAACTTCACCCGGAAAATGAGGTAAATCTGCGAAATTCACTTTACAGCTGTCGGGAAACGCCTCAGTTAGTTCGCGAGGACTCGCAGGTGTAGGGATAGCTTTGAGTGTTAGGGCAGAAAAATCACTTCTTGACTGGATCCCAGTAGATAGCCGTATGTGTGCGGTCCGTATGAAGGGGTCCGTTAGAGGAAGGAAGGACGGCGTTACTCGTCGTTGTCTTTTCATAGTCTCCGCTTATGCCCCCACAGACTGCAGTTCATATGAACTAAAGGATGATTTCTACCTGAAATTGTCCAACTTGCTGCAAAAAGCAAAACGTTCAGATGTAGTTGTTTTAGCACACGACTTCAATGCCCAAGTAGGGAAGCTGTGCCAGACTGAGAAGTATGTAGGGGGTACGTATGGAGTTCCCCTCCGGCGAACCGACAACGATGGTCGTCTTCTACAGTTCTGTTCAGATAATCATCTGTTCCTAGTCAGCACTAACTTTAGGCACAAAGATAGGCACTGCGTAACTTGACGACCTCCATCACCAAATCAACGTTGGACTCAGATGGACCACATAGCGATAGGGTATCGATGGCTTGGGTGAGTAGAAGACTACCGCTCCTATTGGAACACATGCGTAGGCTCCGATCACGCTCTGGTCCACGCACGTGTATGCTTGCGACTAAACGGATATAAAAAAATTACTGGTGGCGAAACAGTTACGTCCCCAACTAGATCGAGACTCTGAGTCCCTATTTAAGGAGGAAATAGCGAGACATGTATCTGAGATCGACAGCAGGACTTCCCCTGAAGTAACCTGGTACAACATACAGTTAGCTGTAGACACAACTGTAAAAGCTGTTAGTGACCTAAAACCAAAAGTTAGCAAGAACCACTGGATTTCTACCGCCTCATCCGAACTGATTGACGCAAGAAGACTGATTCCGGTTAGCTCCGATTATGATGAGGAGCGAAAGCTACTCAAACGCAAACTAACAAGAAGTCTTCGCAACGACCGTGAACAGTGGTTGACAACAAAAGCGAAAGAGATGGAAAAGGCCTCGGTGATTCGTAACACCAAACAACTATTTAGGCTTATCAGGGAAACAGGTGGTAAAAGGCAAATGATAAGCGAAACAATTTATGAGAAAAGTGGTACCATAATTAGCTCCCAGGATAGACGACTGGAACGCTGGAAAGAACATTTTGAGGAACAGTTTAATTGGCCTACAGCCACGCTCAACTTACCGAACATCCAACACCTCCCTGAGTGGGATATAGACACAGGTCCACTGTCCCTAAGTGAGGTTACTAAGGCTGTCACTAGTCTGAAACGAAGCAAAGCAGCACGACCCAATGGGATGACTCCAGAGGTATTTGATTACGGTAGAGACAGTTTACAGTCTGCGTTAACTAAGGTGCTAGGCAGCGTCTGGGAATCAGAGGAAGTCCCGTCGGCGTAGTGTAAGTCACTGATTATCCCCATTTGCAAGAAGGGAGACAAGTTTTCCTGTAATAATCACAGGGCGATTAGCTTGACTAATATAGTATCTAAAGTTCTAGGCTCAATAATAATTCGTAGACTAAGTGGTGCTCGGGAGGCACAAGCAAGAGAGAACCAGGCAAGCTTTAGACCAGGAGTAGGTTATATTGATCATATTTTCACCCTTCGACAGATTCTGGAACACAGGCATTCTTACCGGCGTCCAACAGTCATTGTATTTCTTGACCTAAAGGCGGCATTCGATTCTGTCGCTCCCGCCAAATGTAAGATGATGTTACAGGACTGGACTACACTGACTCATAGCTTAGAAATAGGGAGTAAAGTGGTAGAGCACGTTGACCGCTTCATTTCAGTGTTATCAGACATAGGGTTGGATTGGAAGAGAGTGAGGGATGGTCAAACTAAAATCTGAAATTAATCTGCGACAGCTGGTTTGAGCCACGTAATAGGGTGTAGATTGTTTGGTTGGAGTTCTCGCGATTCTAAAAACCAGTGATGGGAGACTATTGGTTATATGAATCAAAATCATTCCCAGTGGTTCAGATGCATTAAATTTTCACGTTTTTCCATTTTTCTATTTTTTTCACCCGTACATTTCTACTGATTGTGGTTCTCCCAATTTTTTTCTTTTCTCTACCTTTGTGTGTTGCATGGAATGTGGCCACTTGAACTGCTGCACTTCTGTGTAAAGTTCTGTGTTGAAAATCAGTCAGTTAGAGACTTATTTTCTTGTGTAGCATCGTTCTACCAAGAGAACCGTAAATAAGTTGAGCACTTCTTTATTATCCTCATATTTATTAATAAATAATTTGAAGCTGTAATTACCAAGTAACTTATTCCTGGGGAAATCTTATTCTTTTTTAACACCTTCTGTACTGTTCGATAGCAGGCGAGAGGAATTTCTGCTTTCTAATGATAGATACAGTGTAACTGCATTTTAATGTGTATAGTTGTTCAAAAGTGGTTCATAATATTCCTTGGTCTGCGAACCTATTCGGCACATGGTGAAGAGTAAATATCGTTGCGTATATATTCTAATAGATGAGTTTTAATAGCATAATATAGTCAGTACTTCAACCGATAGGAGATATCGGTTAAATATGTCTCTGTTATAGGATTCATATGTTACTTTCACCTGAAGGAATATTAATAATCCAAGATAGTTGAAATAATCTCCGACTGACTTGATGTGTTAATAATTCTAAGCCTTCTTGGTTGTTTTGAATAATTTCTTACAATAAATAAGTTATTATAAACTATTTAAATTAATCCCAGCGTGTTAAGAAAATCAAAACAAGATTTTTCTGAACGTTTCGCTGTGTAAGCCACAGCTTCTTCAGCTGCTGAAGAAGCTGTGGCTTACACAGGAAACGTTCAGAAAAATCTTGTTTTGATTTTCTTAACACGCTGGGATTAATTTAAATAATTTATAATGAATCAATCTGACTCGGCGCTCAAATTATTCCAGGAAGTTCGTAACACCTACGGCCTGGAAACCTATAATGAATAAGTTAGTTGAGAAAATTAAAAAAGAAATCTAGGATACATTTGAATAGATTTTAACTGTATAATATATTTAGATTATGGATTTTTATAGGGATTTGGATTTCATCGCCAACCAACATCATTTAAAGATCATTGAAAACCAGGAAGCACTAGACAGCTGTTTCGTTCTAGTTCGGAACTCTTCACACCTACAACCCAGCTAGGGATCGAACTGGAGACCTTCAAGTTACGAGACTAAGTTCACTGACCATTTAGCCGCGTGGGCCGGAAACCAATGGCCCGTTAATTCCAACTTTGTCAATTTGTGATGTAGCACTAGTGCCTTTGATGAGCATCCACTTCACCTTGACATGGTGGACCCAAGTGGTCACGATTTCTCACTACAGCTTCAGGACATCCATCCAGTAGCTGTCAATAAGCTGGAAATCGATCTTTAGACTATCACAGATTGACAAAGTTTGAATTTTAGGGATATTAGATTCTGGTCCAAGTGGCTGAATGGTCAGTGTGCTGGGTCTCTTAAACTGAAGGTTCCGGGTTCGATCCTTAGTGAGGTCGTAGGTATGCCCTGCCGAAGAGTTCAAACCAGAATGAGACAGCTGTCCAGTGCTTGTTGTTTTTCGATGACGTCTAACTAATGTTGGCTCGTGACGCGGGATCTACACTGAAATGCATATGTATCGTCTTCTAAATAATTAATTAATAATTTCGTATTATTTACCTAATAAATTTGTTAAGTCTACCTGATAACATAGTATGGTATTAAGAATTTATCTTCTATTTGTTTATTTCACAGGATCCCAATCAACAATTTTTAAATGCTCAACGTAGTTCTGTCATCAATTCAAACAATCAAATGTTTGTATGTGAACATCCAACAGCCACAGTGACACGTTTATCTTCTAGTCAATCGAATAATTTCACTAATAAATTACATCAACCTGTTAGACCAACTTTGGATAATTTAATTGCAATTTCACGTCATCATCAAACATCATTAACTCCAAGCGTGCTAAGCGTTCAAAGTTTACATGGTAAGTTTATCATCACATGTCCACGTGTCCTTTTTTCGGTGTTGTTGTCACTATATTATACATTATCACAAGAAATTAGGGAAAAAATCAAACTTATTTTTGCTTTTAAAAAATTTATTCCTTTTCATTCTGAGTCAAACATATGGCGCCAAGGTTGATCTTTGAAGTTTCAGCATCAGTTAAGTTTTTAATTCCTACCGGTTGTGAGAGGTTAAGGAGTGCGTTGGCTGAGAATCCAACCCCGGACCACTTTCGTAGTTGGTGAGTGTTCTATCATTGAACCACCCACGCACGTCAAACTCATTAGTTTTCATTGTCAGCACTTATGTAGGTGTTCAAGAAATGTGACTCAGCTAATTCACACTGGAATATTCAAGTTTATCATAAAAGGGTAGTAAATATATGTATTCAGAGTTTTTATTATAATGATTTACAGTTGTAAAGCTATGCGTTGAAGTAACGTCTTCTCCACTGTGTTGATAACTTTCACAAAAAGTTGAAATGGTTGCTTAGAAAACGAGAATGTCTAGTTATTCCAAAGTATATATATATATGTAAATAGTGATAGTAATGATAGTGATAATAATAATAATAATATTAATGACGACATGCATATCGAACATGCGCAAGACAACAACAACACCAAGGAATCTAAATCATCAGTAGTAATTCCTTACAAGGAAAGAACCTCCGAAACCTTACGCAGAATTCTTAACAAGGCAGGAATAAAAGTGGCATTCAAACCCACAAACTCAATTAAAAACAAGCTTTGTCGGTTAAAGGATCAATCCTGTGGAGCCATTCAAACAAAACAATTTAGTTTATCTAATACCCTGCAATGATTGTCAGGTTAAATACATAGGTGAAAGTAGGAGAACAGGGTCAGTCAGTCAGACTAACCGAGCATAAAAACCTGGCAAAATCTAGATTGGTTGACCCGAATAAGATAAGAAATCTGGGGAATAGTCCAGCTATAGCACTGCATGCAAATACACACAACCATAGAATAGGATGGGATAGGATGACAGTTTTAAAATCTAATGTCACAGGGTGGAGGGAGAGATTGATAACAGAAGCTTTGTTTATCGAATCAACTGCAAATACGTGTAATAGGAATGATTCAACACCTTTCCCAGATATCTGGAAAAGTCTACTACCCCTACAACAAATAGAAGACAAAGAAAACTATAAAATTCAAATTTCGAAGTCGTGTGATTACAATTGATATGATTATGAACAATAAATTTAGTTCGAAACGTCATCCAGTGAATAATACTGCTTCACTGTGTGATACATCTAATTAACCAACTAATATTGTAAGCAAGCAATACTGGTGGATGTGAGTACTACCCAACTACTCATATGAATCAATCAACCATTAAGATAAATTCAGGATATTTTTAAAACAAGAGTAGTAGATATTGTAGAATGAATTGAATTCAGTCTCATTTTGTGTGCTCTAAATCTTCCACAAATACACTAAATTGAAAATGTGTTTGCAATTTAATAATGCTGCTGTCATCAAATACGGAATTTGTAGTAATCTGTAACACAAAGAACATGCTTGGATAAAAAAATCTGAATGCGAGAACCCCTCATGTTACCTAGAATTACATTTATTCATTTACCTGTACTCGCAGTTGCGTGTACGTGGAAATAACTGATGGAATCTTTGCAGAAGAAATTTCTGAACATTTACTAAAAAGATTGTTATTAGGCGCAAGACTGCCTAGTTGTACTATCGGTAGACATATCTTTGATAGGGATTATGTCATCAATTCCAACACAGCTTTCCGGACTGTGAGTTGACAGAGTAGTGGTAGATTACCACGATAAACAGAAGCAGTAGCAGCAGCTATTTAACGATTGAAGCCTAATCTATGCATGCAGAAAAATTTTATGTTTCGCCTTGCCTAGCTATGGTACTTTGTTTTTTCTTTGTCTACTGTTTTACTATTTATTCAATCTTCTTACCATCCTCAAAGATTGTTCATCTTTCTAACACTTCACTTTCCATTTTGTTTACTGTAAACCAACCTTGTATCTTAGTCTATCCCTCACTGTTTTACCAGGATTTCACTTCTTATCATACCATATATGCCATATCTTGAATTGTAACTACACGTTGTTGGTATTATGTTGGATTATTTTGTTTTGCTTGGACCGAATTTATAGTATGATTCGTTCCCATAGATATTGTCGTGTAGATGTGGAAATACTCATTTTGTGCTGAAGTTGCCACTAAGCTAAACTACTTACATTTGATAATGGTATGTTAAATTATATGATCCTACACACATTTTCACTTTATTGCTTTTATGGAAAATGTAGAATACACGAAATGAAATTGAGTACAATTCATTCTACAATGTTTATTGTTCCTGCTTTGCAAAAAATTATAATGGAATCCAACAAGTGAAGATAAAAGTTGTTGCGAGGTATTTTCGTGCAGAGTATAGCGAGCAGTACAACAGATTTTGCAATTGTGCGAAAAAAGTTGATATAACGCCTTTAAAACAGTCAAACGTAACATCTGATATGATTACACCATTCCTCTAAGCATGTAATAAAAAAAGCACATAAGACCAATTACGTGAGGAAATTCAAGTCTCAATTGAACGCCTCCGTTCTATCTATTCGAGTGTTTTGGGACGAAAAGGCGGCAAGTTTGTTTCGCAGTAACTTATATCCTCACCCGGAACTATTTGTATCAAAATTTTTGAAATCCTACCTTTCAAGAATTTTTATTTTGATAAACATATGCTACTCATGAGTAGCATAATCAATGATACTGGATGAAAACTACGTCAGTTGTCAGGTTCATAGTCCAGTGGATTATTTCATTCTTCAAACATATTGACGCCAAGTTTGATGTCATTTGTGCAATTTCATCCAGGATGTTTGTTGACTGCTTTTATCATTCTGTAGGTCGTAAAATAATATTTTGTTGAGTAAAAGCCTATTTGTTATTGTCTTTAATATTTTTACTTTTTGAGTTTGTTCAGCTTCTGTAAAGCTGATTAGTACTCATATCTATCTAATCAGTTTATATTTACATTGACTATTTGTTCTTTATCCAGGAACGTCATTACAACGTTTTAGAGCTTCACAGTCTTCAGTTATCTCTACCAGCGAAGCTTTAAGGCCATTATCCCAGGTTCACGGTTCTAAAGTAATCAGGGCTGCAATACCTGGCAGTAATGTTGGAGCAACTTACTCATCCAATCTGTATTACAGTCCTATGATCAACATTGCAACAGATGCTGTACCCGTTAATGACCAAACAAATCGCACTTCAGTTCTTCAACAGAATGCACTAGTTCCGTCTAGTTCAGTAGTTCAATTTCCATCCTCCGGAAACAATGTTATCGTTCTACAGAAAGGTGAATTTCTCCGCTTTTTATTTTTTCTGAAATTTAGTGTAATCCTCCTGCTTTCAATTCTATGCTTTACAGAAAGTTATAAAAATTCTATGTTGACATACTATATTGAGTTTCACTATGGGATGATTCATTCTCATGAATTCAAGTAACTGATACTGACTATTTTTTTAAAATATTCGTGAGAGCAATTGTTTCAAGTTTGAGTACAGTCTTCTCGGGATTTGATTATATCTACTGGTAACTTACAACAAAATCCAACGGATGCATTTTAATCTACGTGCGACTTGTCAATTGGCTGGCTGTATCTCCTAACTGTGTTAGTATTTTCAAAAGCTATTAGCCATTTGTTAATTCAAACCACTTGTAATTTCATGCAGTTAACAATGAGCCATCTCTATTTTGTGTGAGGGTTAGTGATACTACCTAGCCTCTAAAACCTCGATAGGTGGTTCAGGGTTCATTTGTCAGTTAGTGTAATAGTATAGAATGAAAGTTTTCATAATTTTGGTTTATGAAACAGAAGTGTTTTCTTCTTCATGTTGATGAAAAGTAGAGCAGTTTGTTTTTGTTGCTTTGTATCTAAGGCTGTAACTTCCAGTATGACTCAAATATTTTTATGAGTTTCAATTCTGACTATTTTATTCACTTGGACATTTTACTAATAAAAGGTGTATTTTGAAGGAGATTACTTATAGATAGAACTATTAAATTTACATTATTGGTTAGCAAATTGGCACACTACTTCTGCGTTCGAGGTTGTCATTTAAATAGTTGGAATGGTTTTTTATTAAGTAGTTGAAGGTTTTATACCCAAGTTTTGTACATGTTGACGCTTATTAACAAGGCATGTCTACAATTTCAATCAGACGGCTACCTCATAGATTGAAAGCTGGATTCACCTGATACACTGAGGCAGCCTCAGGCAGTTTCACTCATCTCTTCCGTTGTTCATGACTGATTTCACTTTGATGCTAACTAGCTGCTTATCTATTCAGCTACACCTATATAGTTGCTAGTAATGTCCAAGGATGGAAGCTGAACGTTCGTCTTTTCATCAGAATAATCCTAACATACTTACAATTACATTCTATTTTTTGTTTGTTTGTGTATCACACGTATATTTCATTTTGTAGTACCAATAATTCAATTTTTTGCCTTACATACACCTAGGTTATGCTTGTAAAACTTTCACGCCTACTTCATCGATACGCATTGGTCAAAATATACCTGTGAATACACAGACAGCTGTATCTGGAACTTTCTCAACTAATTCAGTTGCATTTCCTGGTCGTCAATTTCGAATTATCGGATTACCGAATGCGACATCTGCTGTTTGTACTGCAAGTACTGTTGAAACTCAAGTATATGCTCAAGAATCGCATTCAGTATGTTTTTCACTTTTGAGTTTTTGATAATTAAAATTATGAATTTTATATGATAGTTAAAGTTGATGAATATCAAATTTCGTTGGGTCTTTTTTAGTTTAAGTACTGTATGTTTATGTGTGATGAGAGTGTACAGTCTTATTATAACTGTGAGATACCTTTTAAGCAAATTTGAAACATAAGACTTTTGACTTGGGAACCATGGTCAGATTACAGAACCAAACATTATTATTATTCCCTTGACTTCCTAGTGGAACATAGGTTTCAGCAGCACAGCTCCATTTCATCCTATTCTCTGTGTGGTTTCTTTTTAACTGGCTCCACGACTGCTCGTAAGCTTTCATTCTCCCCTCCCCCACCACCACACACACACACGATCTCCTCCATGTCACTCTCGAGGATTATATTATATATTGTGGTGATACCCGACTCGTTGTTTCCCATTCAGACCCTACTGGAGTGCCTGGCGCGTGCGTGATGTCACTCAATGGTCTTCTCAGTGTGTCCAATCCGTCTCCATTTCTTTTGGCGTATTTGTTGGGCAGTAGGTTCTTGATTAGTTCTTTTCCAAAGTCCCCTGCTGCTAATCCTTCCTGGCCCTCTGATCTTCAATAGGAAGCGAACGTATACTGTAAGGACTGATTATATTATTTGGTTGACTGAGTTTCAGCAGCTGATTGGTGGATGTGTAAATATGTAACTCCAATAGCTGACGGTTGAATTCTTAAGCTTAAAGCTTAAGTCCATAATCTGCTGCATCAATAAAAACATCGGTGAGTGAACTTTTTGTAAGGCGAAGGCAGCATATGAAAGTGTGAAGCGAAACACCGACGAATATGCGCCAGGGTCAGGCAAACAGCATCCAAACTGGGAAGGACCACACGTGGTCACTTTGAGACGGGGTTGCGTAGACACAGTCGCAAATGTAAACACAAAGAAAAGGTGAACGTCAGTGAGCGCCGAGATTCCAGACAGTATGAGAAACGAATGAAGTCACCAGAACCAAGAAAACCGAACCAACTTCGTCGAAATTCTTTGACGGGGGGACGAGTGTGGTGAAAGCTGCCTGCTAGCCAAAATTGGTTGACAGCAATTTACGTCCTAAATCTTGGTCATGAGAGAAAAACAAGAACAAAGACTTTGCGTGGGCGGATACGATTCGCAGATATATGGTCTGACCTTCAAAGAAACGGTCACAAAGAGATGACAGATTAACTTTCAGCGAGAAAACAACCAATCAGAAGACTCTGTTTCTCTGCTTATTAGCAGAGAATAATAATGTACATAGAAGTATATAAATATCTGTTGATTTCCTATTTTACTATATTATAGGCTTTCAAGTATATTGGTAAAACGTATGGTAATGGTTACCGGATTTCAACATTTTACTTTTAACCATTAATTTTGCAGTTAGTGTTATTATATATATATATATATATATATAATAAGTGGAGCGCTTATCATCGAGGGAATAAACAAGAACTTGTACTGAGTAGTTAAGTTATATTCCTATGTATTAACCTCAATTAATCTTACTCTACTCAGTGTTAATATTTGTGTTAATTGTTTTCTTATTTCTGTTCACATTACCAATCTTGGTTATAGTCAATTCAAAACAATTCTGCTGCTACTAGTGTTACTCTATCAAATCAACTGCCTCAAATTCCACGTGTCGGAGCAATCGTAGAAGTTGATCTGGATTCAGATACTTACAATGAGCAGAACAATTATATGGATCGAAATACTGTTAGTAACAATAATAATAATAATAAAATCATTCCCAAGACAACGTTATCATCGTCGGACTTACAGAAAATAACACCTGTCCATAGACCAGTAGTGTCTACTTCAAATGAAACTCCAGCGAATAATAACAGTAACAATAATCGAAGTGGGGTACATGATACATCTGGATTCTGTACACAAACTTCGAATGATGTTACTCAATTGAATATAGCCAGTGTAAATAAAGTGGATAGATTGCCAGCATATAGTAGTGAGGTGAGCGTAATTTTCTTTACTTCTTTCCCCTCCCGTCTGAACTATGATTGTTCTTGTACCATCTCTAAATTCTTGAAAATGAACTACTCCTGTCCACTAACTACTTTGTAGCAACTGCCTTGAGTATTGAACTCCACAAGTAGCCAACTTTTCCTTCCACTTGTTGGCTGTGAAGTTCCCTATTTGACCTCCACTTAGTGAATTCATTTTATTAGCTTAGGAAGTCAATTAGTAAACTATTTATTAGAGCTTTTCTAAATCATTGGAAACTCTGCCTATCAGTTGCAATCTGTCTGCTTCCAGATAGACTAGTTTACATAGCATACCATGTTGAGAAGGTTATTAACTAACAACTTCCACCTCCTGAATTCCAGACAAGACTATTCGCCTTAAGTGTCATCGCAGTGTTTTTCATTCCTTACGTTCTCCGTAGGCTTCAAGTTTTGAGTTTCAGTAACGGTGGGGTTCCTAGCCTCATACTCAGCTTTCTCTCTTTTCTGTGATTGCTACCGGCTAGTAAACTAGGCGAGAGTACGTCAACCGGGAATGGAATTTGGACCTCCCTTATGTCTGGTGAGCATTCTACTGTTGAATCATTGATTCTGACTGACTGACTGACTGGTTTCAACGTAGAACTTTGCACCGATGTGCAGCATTCAGTCACACACTTCACTTAGCACACAAGGCAAGAGAAGAAATTAAAAGAGATTCAAACCAGAGATAATAAACAGAAATATGAGGCAAAAAGAATAGTAATATGGAAGAACAATATAGTTTTATTGAATATTAAAGTCACAAGCAGTAGATGCATCTGCACCAGCCACTGAGGACGATTTTGAGCCATATCACCGATTGTCTCCAGCCGTCATTGGTTCTTATCGTCCCGAGGATCGCAACCAGAAAGTTTACAGCTTCCTACGTGATTGGGTTAAACTAACTGTTGTGGATTTCACTGACTGATGCCGTGTTTTGTTGTGACTACCACTAGCTATTTTCCAACCTGATCGTATGTCAGCTAACATTGTCCGTCAAGGAAGGCAGTGCCTGAGCAAGCGTAACACATGCCCTAACCATCTCAATCGATGTGACTTCACAGCCCCTTCGTCTATTGATTTCGATTCACATAGTCACTGGCTATAATAGAGTAAAATTTAAGGCAAAATATTTTTCTCTTCCAAACGATGATACTAGTTAAATTATAAGTAATCAATATCAAATTGTCAGAATTTTTACTGCGTATATTTTGAAATAATTTATGTTAGTCTGTTCCAACAGTTCTTCTGTTCACCCTCATGTTTATGACGCAAAAGTAAAATTAGTAAATGAGTGAATTCTGCTCTAAAAATTTGACACGATTCTCGTGCACAGTTCATAGGAAATTCCCACTAGGAGGACATTCGTGAATTATAAAGTAGCAAAGTTCCCTCAACAGTGAAGGAACTAAATATGTTTCTCCATTATTCTGTCAAGCTTATTATTATCAATGCGAAGATTCGTTTTCTCGATGAATGCATTAAGCATCATGAATTTCCTGAATAGTTTTCGAAAGTACTTTTGCATAATCATATGTATCCTAACGCACAATGTCTTTCAAGAGACACAATGAATCGTATGATTTTTTATGCACATGACAGAAATAATAAAACAATATAAGAAAATTAAGGTGCATATTCCTTTTCACTTTTTATGAAGATACCCAAAAGTTTGCATAGATGAGGCCTCAAATCACAGTGAAAATGTGTTAGGTGTCCGTTTCTTTCCACCAGTTGAAGTAATATGTAATCAAAGCTTTGTTAGCAGATTAGTGTATTTTGACTGTAGTCTTTTAAGTAACTATATCGAATTCAGGACATTGTTTTTGTGACCTGTCACTCATTGCCTCCGAAGATGCATCACTTAATCAGGTGCTAGTTCCATTGAAATACCGTTACTGGGAAATTATGATTTTATGATATTAGATAGTTGAAGGCAATCGGCAGGAAGCCTTGGACCTAGGTTTCGTGCTAGTTGCCACCCACCAGTCAGCAAGGCATATCTGCAACCTTGAAGGAACTCATGTCCCTTCTGAGATTGGAACCAGCGTCACCCAATGCTGTAGTCAGAGACATTAACACTGAGCTGTTCGGGTTCGCGATTGACCTCCTTTAGGACTGTAGTGGATACTTTGGATGGACACTAGTAACTAGCGACGCGGGTTCGAATCTCAAGAGGGACATGACTTCCTTCAAGGTTGCAGATGCGCCTTGCTGACGAGTGCTAACTAGTGCGAAACATAGGTTCAAGGCTTCCTGTAACCGATTGCCTCCAACCATCTAATATCATCAAATCAATGTGCACTGTGATGGCGAGCTACCTAGAATGGTGGCCACATTGTAAACCTGACTGATAGAATTCAGTCTGCACCAAAGAAAGGACTAGACATATCACACTAGTTACTGGTGTCCAATCAAAATTATGATTTTAGTCCTAATGTGGTACTATTTTGATTATTCGTCGTGTGTGATTGTAATCTTGGTTATTATGTAATATGCTGGTTACTTTGGTGATAAACATTATTCTCAATTAGATCTTCAGGCTTTACTCTGATGTGCATAGCTTTATACGTAAAAAATTGACCAATTGACGGTGAGTTTATGGATAAAAAATAACAGGTGTTTAACGTGAATTTGTCACTAATAACGATTATAATAATAGCAAAGTTACGATAATAAGGTCAGTGATAACAAAAGTATTAACACTTGATGCAGGTGACGATTAGAATAATGAAGGTGGTATAATAACATAAGCAATTCAATAAATAAATTAGGTCAGAGTCTTACAAAATTAAAAGTTACGTAATACTAAAGATGAAGTGGATGGATGATCAGAGTTTAAATATACATCATATAAGTACGAAGGAAATGAAGAATGGGGAAGGCTGGTAAGTTTCATGTAGATTTGCCTTGGCTGAAGGAGAGACAAAGGTAGAACAAACTTTTATATACGAAGACTAGGATTGTTCTCTCGAATTCCCAATATAGGCGAGTTCGAATTCCGTCCGAAAGGTCTGATGGAGCGCAATAGGTAATCTTAAAGTCACTTCTTCTGTCTACCTGATGACTACTATCAATGAAATGAGACAAAATAGAGCTTCTTATGAAATTTTGTTCTGCCTTTTCCTAACCATGAAAGAAGATGCTCAGTAATGGGCTTGTTAAGTTGTCTGGTTATTCGCCTTCTCTCTCCACTAGGGTTAGGGTAAGTACACATAAAAGTGGCACAGCTAGGTAGCTTATCTTTCGCTTGAGCAATCCTAATTGATCGGCTGGTAAATGGCAAGCAAAGCCTGGCAACAGTATAAGTTCGTTTTATAGCTCTAAATAATCTTAGAGGCAGGACTTCATTAGCCACGCCCCTATTGAATTGCAGTGTCAGTAACAACTGTTTCTTTTCAACCATGGTCGTTTGTTGTTTGTAAAAATACTGTCTTAGTCATACCACATTAATTTGTTTAGTAGATGATTTCTGGAACACTATTTATTATTCATAGTCATATCAATTGTTGTTCAGTAGATAATCCTATTCACAATATGACATATAAACAATGAACAGATTATCGTGAAATAACTTGCTACCACAGTGTTGCAGTTTAATACGCAAAGATTTCTGTTATAATTACCTTTTTAGGATAAAGGAAAACAGACAATAGAAGCTACTTCCACTGATTCATCACATCAATGCGTTGAGCTAAATTCTTCGTGGAATCATACTCGCAGCAACAATCCCACTGATGAATCCTATCCGGCTAATACTACTACTCCAAATGTATTTAACATCAATCCCCCAAGTCCTAAACGATCACGTTTCGAATTGTCAGCAGCATCAGTTGAAAGTTCGCATTAATAATGATAATAATAATAATAACAATAGATGGGTGGATGATGTGTAAAATCTAACTTTGAACAAGTGTCATTACTATTATCATTTCTTATTACTACTATTAGTCTATATGTCTTCTTTTCAAACTTTCTTTTGATTGCTTATTTTATTATTATTTTTTTCTATCTATCGATATGTACTTATTTATCTGAGGGATTTATCCGGCAAGTTAGTGTTTATGCCTCAAGGTGTATTTATGCGTTTAAACTCCTTTGTTCTTTTTCTCTCTCTCTCTCTCTCTCTCAGTCTCTCTTTAGCTTGCAGCTTACTTACTCACTCATTCACTCGCTCAACGAGAAGTCAGCATACTTCATTTATCTTTTAAATCCTTTCTTGAAGTATCATTATAATTTATTCATTGTATTATATTAATATTGAACAGTACCCATACCCCATTTCTTGTATCATACAGTGAGATATCCTTATAAATTTAAGTATTATTATATACTCTCATATTTATATGTATTTGTATGTGTGTAGTGTTTCACATACTCCCTATAGTGTATACGACATTAACACATGCAAGATTGTGTTAATGGTTACATATTATATTTGATTAAAGAGGTTATCATTTTGTCCAGCCTCTAAGTTATAGTCTCTCTGACTGTCAAACCAATCTCTCTTATTCTGTCTTGTCATATATCCATAAATTATTTTACACTCATACAGTTGTACTTATTTGTAAACTGTTTTACACAGTGTATTGTTCATATCTTTTGTTTTTCCAACATTGATTATATACACACATATATACATATATCTCATCTATCTGATGTATTACTCGATTGATTGTATTGTACATAGATTGTATTGTATTAATCTACTCTATTGTACACGCTGTATTACGAAGAGATAAGCTTTGAATTGCATTCATTATTCATTCACATTAATCTTAATCATTATTTATTCTATTCATTATATACGTACGATGATGATGATGAATACGGGCTGCATCATTTTTGTGTCGTCATTGTTGTTACAACTAGTGTTCCCATTGTTTCATCTTTTTCTTTTTATCCGTCAGGTCTTGTATTTATTCCTCTGCAAAACCATAGTTGTTATATTGTCTAAGCTAAAAATAAAGGCTTAATAAGGAGAGTGACAATTCAGTAGGTAAGAGATATCAAAGGAACTAGCCGGTTTTGCTTGGTGGTATAGTAGGCAAACAGTACTGACTGTGTTTTCGATTAAGACATTGAAAGTATATATATATATATATCTGTTTCCTTTTTTCCACTCTATTTTTGAGCACTGGCTTTGTTGCTAAGGTGTTTTTTAAGTCCCACCACCACCTCCTCCACATTGTCTCTTTACTGTCAATAATATGAGTTGTTAAGTATTCAGTGGATACCGTTAAACTTATTTCTTATTGGTTTGAAGAAATCCCCTCCTCCTCTTTTCCATCGATATTGTTGCTTTGCTCATTTAGGTCTCTACTCTTTCTTTTCTTCCGATTGTTGTGACTTGTGAGTAGCCAGCATATTGGCATTGATGAGTTCCCCTCCTACTACAACTGCTACGACTACTACTACTACTGCTACTACGACTTCTAGCAAGAGGTTAAAGTTTATCAGAACAGCAGTGTTGACTAATCTCTTTTAATATATAATATTTTCTAACATTTCTTTTTTTAAATTATTACTATTATTACTATTATCGAAGTTGTTCAACACATATCTTAACTGTTTTCTTCATTGAGTGTATAAGTTTAATAGAGAGTAAATTTTTAAGTTACATTTTTGTATCACATTTTATTTGTTTGTTTGTTTTCTCTTTTGGTTGAGTGATTGCATGCTATTTCCATTGTAAATATAAATTTAAATGTTTTTATACACAGATCTTTAACTTTTTCCTCATTATTGTTTTGACTGTAAATTATTTCGTATGTAAAGGCAAATGGTGTTTGTGTGTGTGTGTGTATGTGTTTGAGTTAGAGTCTAATTGTGCGTTGATGGTTCAGTGGTAAAATCCTCGCCAACCACGTCCGTCACACGTGGTCCGAAGCTCGACTGCCAACCGGTGCCTTCCTAAACCTCACTTAATGCGGTAAAGAGAGAAGGTTAGACGTGAGGCTAACAACCTTATCCCGTGAAAGGTGAAATCATCGCTAGTGAAACTTCAGAACCTCAGAATTGAAGCCCTATATTCCACTGGGGACATAAAAGAATTAAAGAATAAAAATGTTCATGATTTTCTTGTTTTCTGTGTATCAATAAAACGTCTCTTGTGTGTAGGTGTAGTGTAGGTAGCATTTCTATGAATCAGGGGAGATATGTGATCAGATCAGGACTTAGTACGCTGGAATTAGTTATTGACACATTCTTGAAGCTGTGTAGGAAAGCAAAAGATGCCTAGTTGTTGGTAGACGTCTTCGACTTGAATTCTCTAGGTGATATAATTGAAAATCCATCACATTTGCACAAACCTACTCACATACTTTAATCGCATTGTTTTTCTTTTTTTAGCTCTAATATCAAATTTCCTTATCTTGTCGTATTTTACTACATAGTATAATGTTATACTTTTCATCACTTTGTTTTATTTCTTACTATCCTCCGTATAATGTGAAAATACTGAAATGTAACAACTATGGTGACTATGCAACTTCAAATTGTGCCTTTCTTACTGACAGCCATGCATGAGGTCTGCTGGATTAGACTTCAAACCTACGCATTCCAAAACCCTGTCTAGTTTAATAGTAAGTCCGGAAAAGAGGAAAGGTTGGGCGTAGAACAGGAAAAAAACACACTACTGGCGCCCTGTTTTCCATTTAAAACGCAGAGGAGTGATAAAGATGCATTCACTCTCTAAGGATAAATATTGTCGTTAGTTTTAACCTTTTTATGCTTGAATGATTTGAGATTATTGTTTTCTGGTTAGGAGTGGAGTTATACATTGAAATCCTGATTCAGTTTATCATTCCCTTATACTCAAGTGTTACAGTTTTGTATGATGTTTGTAGTTATACTACATGTAGTTTCTATCCAAACTTTGAGCCCTGCCTCCTTTTTTCAAGAATATTCGTCCGATTATCCTTTCGACACTTGATTATTCTACTGATTGCATCATTTCGGACTTATGTCACTCATAGTTAATATCAATAACTATTTATCAGCACTGCGAAAATATGTTGAAACGTTCCTTATAATTCAACTACCTTTTCATTGATTAGGCTGTATACAGGTGAAACAAATCAGTGAAATGGTAAAGACTGAGTCAAATTATCTTGCTACATTTGTTATTCCTGCTTTTCTCATGTATACAGTAGTTCGTTAGTTTAATCCTTTTTGGAGAATATTAAGTGGCTTTAACCATTACTGCGTTTCAATTCGCACCACGATGCCGGGTGGTTTCATCAGTTTGACGTAAACAGTCATATTCAGGATGCAAAGGTAATCGATATGTTTTCGTATAATTTTGTATCGAATTAAAATTAGGCGAAGAAAAGATGAAGTAGGCCAATTAGAGATGTGGTGATATGTAGTTTTACAGTTTACATAGAATTTAATAAGCTTTTTTAAAGTCATTTTTGCTATGATGTTAATGAAGGTGCCTGAAATTTGACATGATATCGTAAGCATTTGTTAAGTATTAATCTCTTGTTGATTGGATTACAGTGGACAATGCAGTCTTGTTGACATGTTGACTTCTAGTATGGACGCTTCGATGATGTCTGACGGTTAACATGGTATTGTTTGTGGCTACCAGTGGAATCTGGGATGCGCATTTCATCCTATTTAGAACTCGTCATCAGGATGTACATGCATCCTCAGGAATTGATTGTGGTCCCAGTGAGACTCGAATCCAGCACCCATTGTTTCAAGATCTAAAGGATGTCTTTTAAAAGTCATGCTTAGCTTCCAAATGTTACTGCTTTGTCGTTTGTTATTCTAATGAGCTAAAACCAACCAAAGCTTGGGAGTTGCTTACTGTGTTGTCTATGCTGATCCCACGTGATGTGTGTCAACTTAATTTTGATCTGTTAATTAATCTGTGGTATGTTTTTTTTTAGACTAAAGTAAATTTCAGAATCAACTTTTCTGTGCTTTGAATCTTTTATGTCATATAAATACTGCAGGATCATAGATTTAATAAGAATAATGACCTGGAGTTGCAAAAGACATTTTAAGCGAAATGCTTAGTTTCCCGCCAAAAATAAAACCTCCTTCTCTGTCTGTCTTAAATGTAAATCCTTCTCTTGGATTCTTTTTAAATGGAAAAAGTTAAATTTTACTTACGGAAGAGACGTGAGCGTTACTGGTACAGTAACCTTTGAAAGAGCCATAGCACTGAAAGATAAGTTTTGTCTAGTACCTCAACCCTAGTTCTTCCTTAACCTCTTACTCTAGTCTTTCTGTAACCTACAATAAAACTATCCAGATGTTTTTGCTTGATATCATTACACTTCATTCAACAATTCATTTCATAAATATAGTGTCATTAACCTGGTTTCACAGGCTTGCCTTGACTGATAGTTGCTCCAAGGCCACTGGGGCGTCAACACCTGTTGGGTGTATGAAGTTTAACTTCGACTTCAAATGTCAAGGAGTTTTCAGTTTAGTCAACTGGTGGCACAAGTTAGATGTTCACTTCTTTGAATAATTTTTCATTAATGAGTAATTTTAATTAAGTTCGGAACCTTCTCCATTTACTAGGTGTGATTTTGAGAATAACGAACTCCTCCTAAAATTCGAAGATTAGGCCTCAGGGACATTTAAATTTTTCAAGTGTTGGTTTTAATTGGTCGTAGGTTTGATCACGAAAAACCATTGGAAAACCAGGAATTACTGCGTCTCTGTTTCGTCTTATTCTGTGACTCTTCGGTTCAAACACAGAACCCTCCAGTTACTAGGCGAACTCGGCGATCATTCAGCCACTGGGGCCCTATCCAGTGGCCCATAAATTCAAACTTTTGCCAGTGGCTGAATGGTGTATGAATTCGCCTCGTAACCGGAATGTCCTGGGTTCCAACCTGCTGGATGCATACTGGTGATGAGTCCCAAACTAGGACGAATTAGCTGTCCAGTAGTCATTGGTTTTTAATAGCTGTCTTAATGGTGTTAGTTCGCGATCAAACTTGCAATAAATAACTAGTAAGCCATAAAATCGACTTACTTTTTCAATAGTCTCGATATATTTCTAGATAATAATTCTTTAACAAATCCACAAATGCCTTAAATATTATTGTAATACTTTGTATCAGTGTTATCCTTCATAATTCTTTTCAAAGAAATTCATGCTTTTAAAGACACTAGGAGAAAAGTATTATTCTTAAGTATACTTGAATGGTGAATAAGGAAGGATAGAAAGGTGCAGGATATACTCATGGTAGTTAATAATATATTTGAGCACGTATACATCCATTGCGGTCGAGTGACCCAGTAAATAACACTTCTGTGCGTCGATAGTTCAATGGTAGTAGAATGGTCGCCTAGCACACACATCGTCCGGGTTCAATTGCCAACTGACTCACTCCTAAACCTCCCTTGGTTCGCTAGCCAGTAGTATCCCTGGAAAGGAGAGGGAAGTTTGAGCGTGGGGCCAGACTTCAAACAGCGTGAAGCCATACGTTTCACTGGGAATGCAAGTAATGAAATTAGGCAAATAAAGTAACATAGTGATTCGGTTTAGGAGTCAGCAAGCAGTTGATACTAATCCATACTGAGAACTGATTAATTTCTTTGAAGCTATCAAACGATGAATTGATAAGGATTGCCAATCTTCTATTCGCTGAACTTTGTAGTACAGATAATTTCTAGGTGATTTTGTGAGTTATTTTAGTTGATCTGAGTAACTATTGGTAAAGTCACGTATATCTAACCAATTATTCATGCTCGAATACTGTTGCAATATTCCTTTGCGTATAACATTACTGGAGGTATGTTTTCACAGTTTTCATCCTGTGAAGTGACTATCTTGTACGCTTCTTAAACATTTACAGAAATAAAAGGCACGTGGCAGTGTATGTGAAACAATTATCTGGTTGTTAGGAAAACTCACTGATTTATGTGGATTCGCAAGTTATTATGTTTTGAAATTCTAAACTTCATATAATATTCCTAATCTCTGTTTATTGGGTATTTTATCTTGTTTCAATTTCATTTATTCATAAGAAGACATCTTTGATGGCCACAGTTTATAGTGATGTACCTTATCAGTAATCAGTTTCATTTACTTAAAACACTACCCTGGTATAACCGATGGTGGGGGGGGGCGGAAGATTTCGATCTTCCTCTCGAAATGCTCTGATGTGGCCACGTGTTCATAGGCTCTGCCAGGTAAGTCCTACTCACTGCCTTCATGCAGCTGGTCTGTTCCTCGCAAAAGTGAAAGGACCTGTGGACATCTAGATGTACCTAGGTGAGCTGGAAAACCCTGATTCGAAACCAACGGTGTACATGGGCTCCAGAATTCGAAAGGATTGAATGACATATAAAACTGTTTTGGTCACCGAAAACCATGGGAACGCAGCCCCTGACGCTTCCGCGTTGCCTCGTGGATAAAATGAACTTATTTGAATTCTCCATGAATGATGTAATCATCAAAAAGCACAAGAAAATGCATCTTACCATATACAAAAAAGTATCTCTGAAATAACAGCTAGAATGTTAAGACTGTTTGGAATATACATAGCATGCGAGCTAGCACAATCACGTCATCCGATATTGTGCAAACCGAAAGATCGAACAATAAAAGGGGATAAGATTAACACCATTTACAAAATAAATTTTATGAACTGCCATAAATATTACATCGGTCAAATTGGGCGTCCCCTTCGAATCCGAATCGAAGAACACAAGTTAGC